GGCTCTCCATCTCTTTTTTTTTTTTTTAAACCGCAGGTGTTCCTGGCTTCTCCCGCGCAAAAATCGAAATATTACATGGCATGACCCAATCCCACTCTGTGGCTGTGACCTGATACGAATGTTGACGTCGAACATCCCTCTGAACTTCCCGTCTCTCTTTCGATAAAACTAGGCATAGAGCGAAGGATTTCCGTTTATGGACGCGATTTAAGATTTCGCACCCTGGCGAAAATCAAGATTTTACAGCTTTTCTTTGTCGCAGCGACTGTGTCTAATAAAGACATTGGGCATTCCGCTGCGCTTACGTGTCTTTTCCAAGGAAACGAGCTGTGCTTCCCCCTTTGCCATGGATACGAAACGAAGAGGCAGTGTCCTAAATCACCTATGAGCTTGCGTGGAGGGTTGAAAACAGCACATACTTTTGGATAATGCATTCGGTTTTCCCCCTCCTCTCTATTTGCCACTATCGGAATCGGAAGATATATATGTGTGATGATGACCGGCCAACAGTACACGTCAAGTTTGTACACACACAAATGTGATCCTTCTGTTGCTCAACAGACAAGATTCGAGATGGTCAATAAAGTCTATTGACGGATGTACGACATTCTAGAGAAAAATAACTTTGCATCATAACTCAGTGAAAGTTTGGGAGCCGTATTAATGCACCATGGGCAGCACATTATGCAAAGAAGAAACGCATGCTTCATAGAGGGCGTTGCTGGCGTGACCTCATGTATTCATGGTAAGAAATGCTCAGCAAATTTTTGGTTTGGGGTTATCTGAATTCATGGATGTCTCTCAGCAGTCTGAATTCATTACGAGTACTGAAGAACGCCATTCGCTGAGGAATGAAGCCCATTCACTGCGACATGTTGAGGGCCGCAGTCTGTGATGTCGGGCGCGGAGTGGGAGCAGTTGTGGAAACTGATGGGAGCCGTATTGAGCATTTCTTACCATTGAATAAATTATGTCGCGCTAGCAGCGTCTCTTTCCTACTTTGCATAACGTTCTCCCCGTGGTGCACCAATACGACTCCTGAACTTTCCCTGAGCTGTGGTGCATAGTTTTTGCTCTAGTATGTCGCACATCCGGCAACCGACCTTATAATAACCTGGTATGCGAATCGATGACCATTGATAGGACAGCTACAGCCTACTGGGAAGTTTCTACCTCACTGACCCGTGCCACACTGTTTTTGGTGTGCGCGACGCGTTCGGTTTGTGGAGTGTGTGAAGATTCTCATATTGCGATGGGTCGTTATAAGAAAGTAGTTGAGGAGGAGGAGAATGCTCTCGCGTCATGGTTGCACAACTCAAGCGGCATGCTATTGGCCAGAGAGAAGACCTCTTTCACTTCTATCACTCATTTTTTTTAGATCGTTTATGGGGGGGGGGGAAAGAGTGTGAGTGCGTGAGTGAAAGTGTGTGTGTGTGTGTGTGTGTGTGTGTGTGTGTGTGTGTGTGTGCGTGTGTGTGTGTGNTGATTTACAGAAGGACTATGAATAGGCCTGTCTCACGATTGTTACTAGAATGAGGTCGATAATTACATATGATTGGGTCCTCGATGGCTGAGAGGTGTGTACGCGTGTGTGTGTGTGTGTGTGTGTGTGCGTCCACCACGTTTCTATTTTCTGTTTATTAGACAACGTCATTTTCATGCTACTTGATCGCCGCATCTACGGATTTGGCTGAGACAGTTTTATTTATTCAGTTTTTACTCTCCTGTGAAGCAATTATTCATCGCAGGAGACTTTCGTTTCCAGGAAACATCACGGAACGCTTTTCTGTGTCCATGGTGATTATCATGATAACTGCTTCTTATCTGAAACTGTGTCATTTCGTGTCGCAATCTTATGCGCAAGACCGGCCTTAGGCATGGGCTGTATGGGTAAACGCCTATGGGCGCCAAAGCGAAGGGAAAGGGGCGCCAGTAACCACTGCAAGTGTCTCATGAAGCTATTTGTCTTTGTTGAAAGATCAGTGACCTTTGATCCCGTTTTCATATGAACTGCCTGAACTTCATGTTTTCATAAGTATCAATGAGCACGACTTTGTTCATATGATGCAACGCTATAATTGCAATTCCATGACCATCACGTTGAGGCGTGGGTAAGGAAAGGAGGCGCTCCAGGGAATGAGTCTGCCCAAGGCCGACCCTGCTTTTGCGCGAAGGAATTTGAATGTGGAATGTAACATGGGTCAGGGTTTGGAAGAATAGGTATCAAATGAAGTCAGACCACGTTAAATCGACGCATCCGTAAACTGTGACTTCCTCCTATTTGAGTTACATTTGTGTAATTGTGTAAACTCTGTACGATTGAGAAACTGAAGCCTCCACAATAAAAAAAAAATCCGCGGTCACTTGCCTCTGGAGGCAAGGGGTCATGAAAATATTGCCTGGCAACACCCTTATTTGTACCTCTTTTTGTAACTTCTGTCCTAATTTAATTGGAGCGTTGATTTGTATATTTTTTCGAGCTCTTTTCCGATTATACATACTGCTTGCAGTATGCCACTTATTGTGCTCACGAAGCGACCCAATTTCCCTGTTAACTCAAGGGGGAGTTCTTCTACTACACAAAAGTCAATAGGTCGCCATTCCATTTGTATTCTTGGATGCAATTGTTGGAAATTACCCAAATCAACATGGTGTTTGTTTTAAAGTACATGGGTTAAAACACGAGCCATAAGTGAACTTAATAACGACAGAATTGGCGAGAACAATCAGGTAGAAGGGTGTCACCAGATCACCAAAGTCGCGAAATTTTCATGATCTCCTATTGCAAGATCTGAGTGACCGAGGAAAAAAAAGTTTATCACTTGTTCTTTACCAAATTTAATAAAAGTAGGTGGTCTTGTAAAATCCTCCAAAGTGAAATGATTGGATGCGAATGACTCAATGATGCACACCATCTCCACGACCAGGAAATATCAGTTGTCCCCCTGAAAGTTCCCAACTCTACGTGCCCGCACACGAAACACCGTACAATATACGGACTGGAAATTAAAATGGTCTTGCATTCAAGATGAGAAGGCAGGTTCACGAAAGTTTTAGTGAAATTGGTTGTTCAAAATTCTAGTAACTGCTTTTTTGCTAGATGTCAAATGAGGTGTCTGCCTGCGTCTGTTTGTAATGTTGGACTTGGGTAAGGCTAGTTCCATCGTGTGCAGAGAAAACATCCAGGGTTTGCACACTGTCACACTCACTAATTTGACAGCGTGTACAAAAGAAATTTGTGGCTTGGGTTCTCAACTACGAATTTATTTTAAGTTTTCGGGGGAAAAGTGCACATATGGCATGTGATACTCTGTAAATTTCCTGCCGATACTTCATATGGTGCCTCCTTCTGTAGGTATGTAAAGTTGGGAATTTTTAGGGCCACCAGTCGTATATATATATTCCATAGCATGGGAAAATTGAAATCGACAGCTACGTGGCTGTACGACCGAATCCCTGCTTATCGAGCATATCCACCTTGAGAGTGAAAAAGGAGAGCTTCATGTGAAGCCTAGTTCATTGATGAATTAATTAAATATGAAGCGTATCATAATCTTCAGGAAGGACGGGTAATCCAAGCGTTCCAACGTAGCAGGCGGATACGATCCCTCTCAAAAGGAAGTACGGTTTTCAAAGACAATCACATGCATCGGCGAGATCCTGCTTCTAAAAATAATCACCGTTATAGATACTCGTATGAACATAGTTCGGGGAGACTGCGAACTAATGTAATCATTGGCGTCTGCCTGATTTACAGAAGGACTATGAATAGGCCTGTCTCACGATTGTTACTAGAATGAGGTCGATAATTACATATGATTGGGTCCTCGATGGCTGAGAGGTGTGTACGCGTGTGTATAGGGTAGGGGAGAAAAGAAGCCTGTGGCCTCAGCCCGATCGATTCCCTTCCCGGCTGTCACTGCGCATTGAAGCAACTCCATGGTCAGAGCATTTGATGAACTTCAAATTACCTCATGAATGAGAGCGTGAGAGAATTGTCGACAGTTGTTGAATATTCTTTTGCCGCCTAATTCCCATGCATGTTTTCCCCTGTCTGTCACTCCTCGTTTGCTTGCATTTTCCTTCCTTGGTTCGCATGTTCTATTTTCGCCACCCGTCCCTTGGCAAGGCGTTTCTTGATGCTCCACTGTCTCTGGGAAGAGGCCATTCTGCCCCTTGACTCATCCACGGACCCGTATCATCCCTTTCGTGGAACATCTGTCCCCCACGACTCATTTCGCAACTCCTCTCGATTCCATTCCCGTATGTCATGTAATGGAGCAGGGCGAAAGGGAAAGAAGGGAAGAAGTGGCCTATGAAGGGAAAGGAAAAAGGAGGAGAAGGAGAAATAGTGCCGTGCAGGGAAAGAGTGAGGGATCGATCCCGGTTACCATGACAACCTCTAGTTCCCGTCGGGGGAAGCTAAGCCCCGGTCCTTGTTTTTAGGCCAGCAAGCCTTGCCAGCTCAGCTACTGACTCTCTTCCAGCCCGCGTCTGTTTCCGTCCCAATATTGGAAGCAAGTGGTGTCTCAAGAGTTGTAACCATTGGAGGGGAAGATAAAGAGGAGATTGAATAAAATTATGTATCATATACGGAGGGACATGGGTGAAAAGCGGTAGCGAGGGGAGGGAGGCACCTTGGTTGGGAGAAGCGAGGTCCTGCATACTGCGCGTGCGCTTTCGCTGAGAGGGACGGACGGAGTGGCAAGAGGGGAAAGGGATCGATGCTAGGCATCCGGGCATTCCCCGTCCTCGTCTAGAGGCATTCGCGGGCCCCCATCCTTCCATCTCGTCTCATTCTCTCACTAGTGTGTGAGTGAGTGTAGTGTGTGTCCCGTCCCGTCCTCCTGGGACCGGTGGGTTGGGTTCACTTGTTTCTACCCCTTTCAACATGGCGGGAAGAGGGGAAGAAGGAGAAGTAGGAGGAGACCCCCATTGTCTGGCACCCATCCGAACCTATTTTTAAAGTCTCGCTCTCTGGGATTCTCTCTTCTCCTTCAGGAGGGGAAGGAGGGACATGACCCGAATGAAGTGACAGAGACAGTGTATGAGTGTGTCTGTGGCTAAGGGAAAGGCCGAGGAAGAAGAAGAAGATGGCATCGCCTCCTGAGGCCCTCTCTTCCACAAAGTATGGCGTTTCCCTCAAGGAGCTTCGGGATTTGATGGAATTTCGCGGCCCTGAAGCTGCCGAGAGAATCAGAAACCAGCACGGATCTGCGTTAGAACTCTGCAAAAAGCTCCGCACCTCCCCGACCGAAGGTAAGAAGACGAAATATTTTTTTTATCTTTCATTGCCAATAATTCAACCCAGTCAGTAAATGTGTAATCAAGAAATCATGTCAATAGTGGATTGGCAACTTCATGATAATTAGTATGCAAATTTGAATATTTCATATCCCATTCGTCGGCATCACGTCCTCTTTCACGTCGCCCCCGCACAGAGCCTGAACCTGAATATCGCGTGTGCTCCGCATAACTATTGAATGGATCCGGCGTGTACAGGAGCATTGATTTTTTTCCCTGCAAAGCCGGTATGTGTGAGTGGACTAATTCCCACGTTGGAAATTTTTTTTTTCATTGCTCTTGCACATGCTGGAAGTAAAGTTATTCTGAGTAAATATGAATTTTTTAAAATCATTATTTCATTTTCGAATGATTGGCGAAACCTTTCTTTAACAGATGGTAATTTTTTGCATGCCATCGTTAAACCCTTCATGGCTTCAAATCATGCAGATTTCATCCACATATCTTGAAAGCTACGATTTCACAGCATTTGCGTTCGAAAGGTCATTGCAATCACCTTGCCCCGTCTGAGTGGTGTGTGATCATGGACGAGGTAAGTGGCTAGTAGTCCTGAAGCTATTTGATTTAACCAAGAAATAAAGATTATTTTAGTTCTAAACGCCTACTTCCCTTACACTCATTGCGCATTATCATTTATTGGAGTAAGGAAAACAGCTACCCTTTTAATGACAGGCATTCCTGTGTTACTGAGCGCTATCCTTGTCGCCAGGCTTCCGTTTCATAATTTCTCTTTTGAATAATTTTCTCTAGCCTTAATGGCAAAATAAAAACTGACAAAATCAAACTGGTGGAATTGTTGCATATACCAAAGCCATTCCTTTTGCTACTTTGAACTCGTACTAAGTGCCGTTAATAATTCATAACCAACCTCATACCAATGCACAGTGAGGATAGGACATATATCATTGTAAAGTATAAAGTGTGTGGAGGCTTGTCCATAACTTGTCAATGAGACTAAGCACTTAAAGAAAGAGTAGCTTTTGTCCCCAGAAACAGGTATGAATCTTAGTCCAATGTAGCCCAACAATCCACAAGTGGATGAGATGAAAACGAGACAAAAGGCTACCATAGGAATGATTGCACTTGCTCCCAGGCATGACTTTATGGGGGTATTATTTGGGGTATTTGTGGGTTGCTGTGCCCATGTTCTGGAAGAATGGATCTGCAAGAGATCCACTTTAAAAGACCTTGGAATTTATTTGGCCCTGATTCCAAAAAAAAAAATTATTTTTATTCAGAAATACTGATCGTTCAGAGAAATTTGAAAGAAGTGCGCTGGATCATGTGCCAAAGGGGAAACAGTGTTCTCAAGTTTTTCTGTAAAATATCCTTCTGTTGAAGCAGTGGAATTTGACTGGCCATGCAAGGTAGGATTGATATGGTACAGTACTTCTCAATGCGTACTTCGCTGATTGTATAATGTTTTCGGGAAGTACCAAAGAAAAGGTACTGATCACTCTGATCCCACTCGTGACCATCTATTCCTCGAATGACTTTATATTCAATTGCAATTTCCAATCAGCTGTGACCCTCAGGTTCTGTGTTTCTATGGGAATTATTCCCCCTCCCTACGTCTGAGGGACAGACGAAATTTCCCATCATGCTTTCTCGAGTCTCCTGAATGAATGGGAAATTTCCTCCCCACGACCACGATCACCTACGGTGCTGAGGTTTATACGTGGTCTTACATGGACAAGTTTATGTCCCTGCTCTTGAACTATTCTAGAGCTAAAGGTGCTCGGGTTCCTTATGGACCTTTGGGCTTGAATTCAAGGACTTCTTCACTTGATCTGAAAGCGGCGAAGGGCCTTCTCTACGTTTTCGATGGTTTCTAAAGATAACGACACTAGGATGTAAATATAAAGAGGAATGGAGTTTTTTTTTTTGCTTAGCATTTACTAATAAAACGCCGGGCATTGCAAGAAGGGATCCAGCTACCTTTGCGATTAAGAGATATGCCGGTAGCTTGACTCCGTATTTGCTTTGTCACCTGGCTGCGGAATGACGTGTCTTCTCATCTCAGCGGTGAAGTCATTCTTTTTATTGACAGTAGGATAGCAGAATTATTGAAAGGAGGGGGAAAAACCAGGAAGAAGGACGTCCCCAATGAGAAGCTCATTGATAAAAATGATTGCTTCGGCACAGTTGAATGGGAAGAGCCTCAGTTTTGGCACACGTCCATCGCAGTCCCGCTCCGATGGACACTGATGAATTTGATTGATTATCGCCTATCTGAAACGAATAAGAGAAAAGAAAACTCATCGATGTGCGGAAGAATGTCAACTCATTAGGAAAGAAGTGAGTCATGGAGTTGATCAGAGGGAAATGATACCCTGAGGGGAGAGGGAAGGATTTCGGGAGTCACGCAGTGGCCCATTGCCATTGCATAAGTGTGGTCTGTTGAAGGCCCATGGGCTGGCATGGAAAGACGAGGTTCGTCACGGAAAGAAGGCAAGAAACAGGTCATGGATTGTTTCACAGCAGGAAACGAGGGAACTGCTTCAAGAAGCAGAGGAGCCAGAGACGGATGGCCTCGCCCTTTGATCAATCCTGTTCATCTATTTCCTTTCCTTCCTTCCGTGCACTATGAAAGATAGGTATTCGCCTCCCCCCCCCCCCCATAAAAAAAAATTGGGTTCCAGGTTCTGTTGTCGAAAGTGGTTTTCAACATTCACGCCTCATCCCTCTCGCCAGGAAGAGGGCAGGTTGTTCATTCTCCTAGCTTTTTCTACTCGAAGATTTGCATGTGATGGAAATAGCTGGAGTATTCAACAATGGCTCTCCCCATTGTTTTACAAGAAAGTTACGTAGTTTCAAATTGTCTTACTGCAGCGCTCGCCGAGTAGCTGTCTGATCAAAAGAGATTCGTGCAGAGCAAAAGTAAAGGGGTGTGAGCCGTTTGCTTCCATCTTTGTCGTTTGAAGGGGTATCCTTAAAATCTGGGACAAAAAGGCATTGGGTAACAACAGGCTTTTCCTGCAGCTATTCTTGGTAATATTGTGTATAATGCCTCTTCGTCGAACTCAAATCCTCTCCTGTGTAAAAACCATGATGCGTGGTTTTCCCTTGCTTATTTATATTTCATGAGTTTTCAGAAAGACATCCCTATCTCGACTTCTGCTGTCTTTTCCATCTACTTCAATGGGACGATTTCGTGGAGGGGGCAACCCAAAACGTGCAGCTGATTATTATTATTATTTGATTCTCCAGAGAAACCCCTATGCTGCGATCGCAAGCTAATGGTATTGGAGCTCTCCGACCTTGTGCTGCCCTGCCTAGCATTGACAGTGAAAGGAAACAAGGACCACCATTCAAGAGAAGTTAGGAGGGTTCGTGGACATCTTTTAGAAAGGGTTCTAAAATTTAAAGGGACAGAGGAAAACCTGAGACCTAATTCTCATATAGGAGAGCCTTAGCCTGATAGATGGACTTACTTAATCCAGATAATCACCTGCTGGAATTAGCCAGCATGATAGCCACATCTTTACGTTTTAGATACCCTTCGTATGCCTATGCTTCTCGATAATCAATTCCTATATCCATTCCTGCAACTGTAAAAGTCCGAAATTTTTAATTTTTTTCTACTTACACCAGTAAATATACTATCTCCGTGCATACCACCTTCAAGGTGAACTTTGAAAATATTTTCATTGCAGAAATTCAACATAAAACATGGCATCGTGGACAGAACCGCTTGATTATTCTCTTTTGATCGGATCAATTGTGAAATGTTATCTGGCAGCGGTTCCACTGTGCTGAAGAGTAGATCGGAGTATGTAGAATGCGAACTGCCATCATGGACGATGACGGCGACGAGACGAAAATAGTTTATGAAATAACGAAAATGGACTGAAATGCACAACCGGGAGGGTGACGAAAGCTCGACAAAAATGAATAATTTAAGTCTACGAAATAAGACGATAACTAAGATAAAATCTGACTAAATCGGACTGGTCAGAAAATAATGAAGATGAAAGCAACAATTGGGGAAATTAGAATGATGATAATGTTACTTGAGTGAAGAAAGGATATAATATAAATTCAATTAAATAGCCAAGCCAAATCTCAAACTGGTTACCTTATTCAGTGACCGCGGACCACGGTAATAGAAAAAATTACGACTGTCACGAGTGCCGTGATGGGGCTTCGGCGATTTTGCGAGGCTAAGACTCTTAATCGCTACTGCAGCGTTCAGTAGAAGCAGAAACGCAGTTTCTTTCGAGCCAAAAAAAAGGCTTATATTCTTTCTGCCTGATTCCCAATGTTCCTGGTATTTGCAATGTGAAGCGCAAGCATGCCTGCAAGGCTCATAGCATGTAGGGTCCTGCTTACGAATGGGGAGGGCCCTAGGCCTGCTTGATTCGTAGCTCTAACGTTAACGTTCACGTTAACTTCAGCTCTAAAAGTGATGTTGTGACGGCCCATTGGTTGAATGATAGATAATTAAGGTTAGGATTGACCCAAGCCGTTTGCCCATGGAACTTATGACAGGCGACATTAGACCTAGGGATAGAGCAAATAAAGACTTGAAATGAGCGTAGATTTTGCCTGTAGGAGTCTGCTTTTCATGTGTGATTGTCTCCATTCCCCTGATGAGAGTGATCACACTGTGTAAGCCTAGCAGACCATACATGATAATAGTCGATGAAACTGGCTAACTGTTGTCCATCCCAGAGCGAAGCTGCCGACTTCCTTTATCGGTTAGTCGAGAATAGTACTTTTCAAAAGACTCCGTTTAGCCATTGGGCACCTCTCTGAGCCTTGAATAAGTATAAATATATGTTGTCCACTAGACTACTATTGCAGAATTAACTTCGTCGACGATGACGACGAGGAGAAGGAAATAGGATCTCGCGGTGAAATGACGAAAGTTCTGTGCATGAGCGGTGACGAAATAAAATTAAGTAAATAACTGGTTAATATCAACCTAGCTTAAGGATCTATGACGACGACGA